ACACGCCTCATACATGTTCCTTTTTATGTTTACATTTAAACACTGCATTTGCATTGTCTGTTTTCTAGTTTTGTTTTTTACTTTTAGATTCAGACGCTGCGTTGTAGTGCCCATTTATTGGTTCTATTTTTTCCATCACTCACACGTCTCCTACACTTTCCACATTGTGCGACTCATGATTTTCACATTTAAGATTCAAATAGTAGAATGTAGTGTCTGGTTTTTCCTATGTTTTTTACGTTTGAATTCAGACATTGTAATGCAGTGTCAGCATGCTAGAACCATATAAGAAAGCAGCCTTTATTTAAAAAACATAGGTCATTTAGTACTACGATCTAATTGTATTCCTCTTCACTTGTAAATGAGAGCTCTTAGGTTTGATTATGGCCAAAGGTGAAGTTGAACTAGATTATTATGGGAAGCCCATTATAAGGCTTAATCCATTCCTCCACACTTTTAGTGTAGATACTATCGTTTGTTAAAAAAAAAAAAACATAGATCATTAAAGATTAAAACCCCAGACATGAAAAGCCAATATTTTCATGCTTGACGCATATGACTTGCGGTGTTCTTCACGTAGAAGCCAACTTGAGGTTCTAATTAATCAACGTTTTCAGGGCAATACGTATAACATTGATAGCTATAATCGGAATACAATTTGTGAGTAACTTTTGAACCAGTATCCCAAGAGGTTTAAGCACATTTCCAACCCATTGTTCTAGTCTACATAATTGCGATAAAACTTAATTATGTAACCAAAATTCCCTTCACATTTATTTATAAAAGTTTTAAGATGGGTACTAGTTTAATCTAGAGACGGAGGTTGAATAGGTTTCAACTTGAAAATCTAAACTTCATTGAAGTCCAATTTTGTGAGTCAATATTGTGTTTAGTCCACTTTGTTGGATTACGTTCATTTACTGATTATCCATATCGGTTTTTCTCTTTGTGATAGATGTCATCCCTTATTTATAGGTCTATCTTTTACTCAATTTTATTAAATATTGTTTCTCCTTTTTTGACAATTCTTTCCTCTACCTCCATGGTTAACTACGTTAATTGATCTATATTGTAGGTACTCTCTCTCTCTCTCTCTCTCTCTCTCTCTCTCTCTCTCTCTCTCTCTCTATATATATATATATATATATATATATATATATACACACACATACTAGTGGTTAACTACGTTAATTGATCTATATTGTAGGTACTCTCTCTCTCTCTCTCTCTCTATATATATATATATATACACACACACACACTAGTATGAATTTATAAATGTATGGAAGATGAAATTTCTTTGAACTATTTTTATGAATGATACGTAGATTAATTTTTGTTTATTTTTGTAGGTACTTCCAGGGGCGGAGCCACCAAGGGACTAGGGTAGTCCTTAGCCCATTCTGACTTCATCTGAAGTGTGAATCTCATAGAAGAAGATGAAGCAAACGACGTCGTTAAGCTGTTTTGATTTTAAATCTTTTTTGCTATCTAATGAAACGATAAGTTTGGCAGAGGAGTTTTAAAAGAGATGTGCAATTTTAAATGGAAAAAGCAACCCCATTTCTAGTTCAATTCTCTCACCTAACAGTAATATACACTCTATAATTTTCTAAAGCAACCCACCTTCTTTATTTGTAGACATCTCCCCCTTTTCTTTCTTTTTTCTACTTCTTGGTATTTTCTTTAGCCTTCCACAACGTACCTCTTACTTGGTTGTCTGGGTTTTTACATTTTTTTTCTTCTTAATATTGAATTCAAGAGAATTTTTTTTTCTTCAGTTTTGTGAGGATTACACAAATTGGTCAACATGTCATGAATTCAACTTTTTACACACACTCACACACACACACACACACACATATTTGTGAAAGGCCCCTTCTCATTCAGAATTTTAGCTCCGCCATTGGGTACTTCTATATATGTTAAATGTATTTTATCAACTTATGATATAGGTATCATATATGATGACATATAAATTTTCTTTTAACTATTTTCTGTGAAAGTGGTTAAATTTTCATATTTAAATATTCAAAGGGTTGTTTTATTATCACTCTACATTTTGTTGACCACATCAAAACATCCCACTTTTACTTTTTAAATTAAAAATTATCTTAATCCACCCCACGTAATTTCTTACACTACCCTTACACCCCACAAGGAAGTAATAAAGGTTGTTGCTGCCTTGTTGGGAGATTTATCTAGTGTTAGAAAGAATTGCTTCTGTTTGTCGAATTTCAGGAAATAAAATGTGCCTAGCTTCTAGTGTACTGCTATTTGTATAATTTAGCTGTTTTTGTTTGATTCTTGGTCTAGTCTCTGACTTGACCTCTTACATTTTTATCCTATTTTGCTCTGGGATTTCAAACTTCAGCTAGCTTTTCTCTTCTCTAAGTCTTTCATTTCAACCGAAAAAATGAGAAATGAAACTCTCTTTTCCAGACATTCGTAAATGCCAAATGGAATTAGTTTCTAATTCATAATTAATGATTATGCATGTATCAACATCAATATATTTCCCTTACGAAAAATCTCATGGGTTCCTTGTAGCATTTGCTATTGTGATCGCGATTACACCCCCAACTAATGAAAATTATCTTTAAAAAAGTGATATCGGAATTTGCAGAATTTATTTTCAAATTTGAACTCTTAGAATAAAGCTCGAAAACAAGAAAAATCGATCTCAACGTGTTCTTGAATTATATTAGGTTTTGCTGTTAAAAGAACTTACGGAGAGTACTATTTAAGGCTTAAATAGTCATTTTATATCAAGATATGTGAGTTATTTATTATTAAATTTTATGTGGAATGTAGTCAACAAAATATGGGGTGTTAATAAAAAAAAAACCCATATTCAAATTAAAATTTTGAGTAAAGATGCATAATCAAAATTGAAAAGTAGGAAAATTGGACTAAATCCAACAACTCAAATTTGGATCTTGGTCAAAGTACCCGAAAATCTAAGTCAAATGTTAAATCTCAAGTTATTTCCACATACATACCACATAGAAATACCCTACACATATGCAGATAAATAAACAAACAAAATGTGCACAACAGATGTAGGAATTACCGACGCAAATTTCACCATTAAGAAAATCCACGGGCTCTCAAATTAGGACAAACACTAAGAGAAGAAGTATAGAAAGATTTACAAAACTCATCAACTAGATACACATACTAGTAGGCAATTTTGTCCACTCGCTTTGCTACTCGATCTCTCTTCAGTCTTTAAGTGTGGAAGTGGCACCACACTAACGTGGCCGTCAATTAGATTCTTCTCGAAATTTGCAAGATACTAAGGTGATCATTTAGAATGTATGGGATGAAATGTTTTTTTCAAAAATTAACCGATTACGGAAATCACAAGACACATTTCTATCATACATTTCTGATTTATACGTAAAAAAAAACCTAGAAATTAAAAAAAAAAATCTTTAAAAACACACGGACACAAAACTGATTTTTCTCAAAGTAAAAACTCAGGGATGCTGATCACGTTAAAACCCATAACATGCAACACTTAGGTTTTGAATAATCAGTGAAGAAAATATAAATTTACCTACATTTTACAGATTCAATAATGTATCTATATATATATATATATATATGTAGTTTCACTGATTCACCTAGATTGTATATGTGTAAGATATTTATGTATCTTTCCTTTTGTCTAACTTAACTTTATGTACATTAATGCTAATCATAAGTTTAAGTTTCGCGATTCGTCATATCTTTTGCTTACTTAGATGCACCTATATCTACATTTTACGTTTATTAATGTGCCTATATGTACATTAATGTGTATATTAATTTACCAGAGAAGGATCAATTATGATATTTGAAAAAAAAAAAAAATTAAATTGGCATGTCATTCCCACCCAACACAAGATGGTAAATCATGCATTAAAATGCAAGTGAAAGATATAGTTGGTATGTACCATTGTTAAGTATATTTTCAATGTCCCTCTACATAATTATGACACATGCACTAAAAAAATCTCTCACACCTTATTATACATCCCACTCAATTTGTAAATTTAAACCAATAAATGAGATAGTAGCCAAATTTGCAATAAATCCCACCAAAGATATATGTGTTCAACAATATTTTTTGGACAAGGAAAAGTATGTAATATGGGAAATCAAGGAATAAAAGGAAATTTGCTTACTTAGATCTCACCACCTCGTTGATTACCATTAGAAGAGTTTGATTTAATATATCTATTCGACGAATCTCGAAACTCAAATTTATCTAACGGTAATCAATGGGGTGGTGAGGATGTGAAAGTAAAAAGGTTTTACGATGAAAAAGAAACCTTGCAAGACTTGTAAGAGTTAGACTATTTCTCATATTGGCAATTAGTTTTACGTAGAACTTCAACTTTCTTCATGGTATCAAAACAAGTTTGCCCATGTTTGAAGCCCCACGTGTTCCGCGTCACCCATTTCATGTTGACCATGTATTTGGCTTGAAAATCACCACACATGAGAAATGTGTGAGAATGTAATTATAAAAGAGTCCAACATTGGTAAAAGAAAAAACCTTGCAATGGTTTAAAAGATGTTGAAATATTTCTCATATTTCCAATTAGCTGAAGATAAGAAAAAATTAGCTTCAAGTAACTCAAATTTTCTTTTATTTTTATTATAAATAATGAGAAATCGGATTCATAAACGAAGGGCCAGCCAAAAGCCACAAAGGCGAATACAAATACAGGAGGGAGTACATAAACAACATTTAAATAATAGATGGTATTTTCCCAACCAAATTCACAGAGGATGAAAACCGCATTGTCATGAAATTCAACAGGCTTGAATACATCAACAACATAAAGCAAAAGTAAAAATACAAAAGTCACAAGGAGGGACAACAAACTCATAGTGAGTTGCCGCAACTTATTCTGATTCATTATGAGTCAAACAGAAAACTAAAACTTGAATAACAACTTGCACAACGACTCTGGTAGATCCATTGTACTTTATTCATTATTTGGGATTCAAATTTGATAAACAAGTTTGATGTCCTCATCATTATCATCCACAGATACTTGAATATTTTTCATATTTCTTTGGCTCTTCTTCAAGAAAGTTTTGAACCAGTTTGCCGAGCGTTTTGGGTACCTTGTCAGTGCACCATCATAGTCCACATAGTTAAGACCAAATCGACTACGATATCCTTCTGCCCATTCAAAGTTATCTAGTATCGACCATGCAAAGTATCCTTTTACTTTAGCACCCGATCTGCGCACACATGTAGAAAACAAAGCAACCAAATGCATTGATATGGATAATTAAATATAATAATAAAAAATTGTAAGAAGGCATAGATATATATATATATATATATATATATATATATATATATGTATGTATGTATGTATGTATGTATAACACTATATATAGCCTTATTGAATTCCTAAACAAGGTACTAACTGAATTGCTGCTTGAAGGTGACAAAGGTGGTCACGATAGTAGTTGACTCTGATGGTATCATTAAGGGCTTCTGCGAGTGATAAGCTGCTATTAGTGAACTCATCGACGTCTTCAACATAATGAATTATTATATGCGTTGATAATTTTCTCTAAAGTGAAATCTGCATTTAGTTTTTGAGTTTAGACTGCACCTAATTTAGTTATGCATACACATGTCAAACTTTGATAATGCAATTAATTAAGGCTTGAAAGTACTGCTTACCATTTTCAGTAATATAAATGGTTGGATCATTATACTTTTTCTTGGTATAAATCATAAGATCGTGAATTCCTTTTGGATAAATGTATAACCAATCCGAAGCAGCCTACAAAACCATTTAAAGATAATTGGAATTCACATGAGTTATGTTTTTATGCAGAAAAAAATACATATTAATCCTCCAAGTGCCAAAAACTTTTAAGTTCAAATTGGATGTGTACCCGTGGACCAATGGGTTTTCCATTAACCTCAGCTGTCATAATATACACAAATATTAGAATCTAAGTATTCTGAGAACTTAATTAATTGCTTGAAATAAGTTTTTAATTTGTACTCACCTGTCGCATTAACATGAGGATCATTTATGTAGTTTTCAGGGTCAGATGAATTCTCTAGTGGATTGCTTGCATATCTAGCAGAGTAGTAATTGATTCCTATAAAATCATATGACCTATTTAGAGAATCGGACCGCTCTTTTGTGAATTGAGGTAATCGTGATCCAACATATGTTCGCATGCTTCGGGGATAGTCACCAGTTGTGATTGGGTCCATAAACCTACAAAATATACAGATATTCCAAGCATGAACTCATGGTAGCTATAATGTCTTGCTAACTATATTTATATTTTTTAATTTTGTATAAAAAAATAAAGTATTTATAAATAAAATATTTAACTAGTTGATACATCCGATTGAAAAATACTAGTTGATATATATGTATATTTCAATAATATATTTACCATCCAAACATAAAATCCAAAGCTCGATTTGCAGCATCTATATCTTTTTTTGCCTTGGAAGCTGGCTCAAACCAGTGTGTCACTACTGCTAATCCTATCGCACCATTTTGATATTCCTACATAAGAAAGTTCAAGAATATATATTAAGAGGCAGACAAAAATATCACCGTTGTTTATCTCAATATGCCAAGTATTCCTAATTTATTGTAACTAAATACTACTAATGCCTCAAATATAATTTTTAATTAAGAACCAAATATTCAGTCCCAAATAAATAATTAATTAGACCTGGTATTTAGTCTTGTACAACTTCACAGCGGCTGCATGAGAAAGGAGTTGGTGGTGTGTCACCAAATATGGTTCAACAGCCGAATTTCCACCAATGCAGTTCAATTTTTGCCAAGCTGAGCATCGTCCCGGTGCGTGAGTCCCGATTGCATAACCATGGTTATTTACAGTAAATGGCTCATTCAAAGTGAGCCAGCGCTTTGCTCGATCACCAAAATGCATAAAACAAAGATCTGCATAATAAGGTACTCACCAAAATAATAAGGTATTTTTCCAACCAAATTCACAAAGGACGAAAACAACTTTGTCGTAAAATCCAACAGGCTTGGATACACCAACAACATAAAGCAAAAGTAAAACTAAAAAGCCACAAGGAGAGACAATAAACTCAGAATGAGTTGCTCTAACTCATTCTGACTCATAATGAGTCAAACTAATAACTAAAACTTGAAAAAACAACTTGCCCAATGATTCTGGTGGATTCTTGTACTTTATTCATCATATTTGGGATTCAAATTTGATACACAAGAGTGATGTCCTCAGCATTATCATCCACATACACTTGAATATCTTTTGCATTTTTTTGGCTCTTCTTCAAGAAAGTTTTGAACCATTTTGCTGAGCATTTTGGATACCTTATGTTGAATATTTTAAAAATATATATATAATTATATATATATATATATATATATATATGGGAATGTTTGACGGGAAGTTGGGTCATTGACCCAACAATTATATCTTTTCAAATTAGCATTGTAACCTTTTGCTAATACCCAACGGTTGCTGCATGTTTTACAACATATATGATCTTTGGGTAATTGGTGTTTGTATTAGATATGTCCATTGGACATAATGATGCAATGTGTTGTATCCCATGGTGAAAAGACATACTCAAATCAAATGATGTGTCTAAAAGGTGTAATTCTCTTTATATATAGTGGTGACATTAGTAGAAAAGAATCATTCAAAAATTTGTTGTCTACATAATTTCTTTGCTCTCTTCTCTCCTCATCACATTTATACAATTTCTTTCTAGTTATTTTTAAGGGAATACAATTCGGTTTTGCTAATCGAATATTCCATACTTTGTTGTATCCTGGAAGTGATTTGCCAAGAACCCTTTAGCAAACTCATTCGAGTGGGGGCAAATAACACTTTAAGGAAACGATTCAAGTCGTACCTCAAAGTCATTATTCGGATTATTCTCCATATTTCTATATTTAATCTAACAATCTTAAAGTGTTATTTTCGTTATGGATAACAAATCTGATAACATGGCTTTGAAGATTATCAATCAAGATGTCTACAAGTTAGACAAATTTGATGGATCAAATTTCACCCGATGGAAGGACAAGATGCGTTTCATGCTTACTGTTCTAAATGTCATATATGTGTTGGACCCGAAATTGGAGCCTATTCGTGAACCAAGTGACAAAGACTCGGACAATATAGTTGCCGATCGAAAGAAGCGTGAAGAAGATGAATTGGTATGTCGAGGACACATCTTGGGCACATTATTTGATCGTTTATATGACCTGTATGCACACATTCAATCTCCAAAGGAAATTTGGGAAGCACTTGAACACAAGTACACAACGGAAAAAAGAGGTACCGATAAATTTTTAATGTTCAAATATTATGAATTCACTATGTTTGATAACAAACCCATCCTAGACCAAGTTCATGAATTATTAGTCTTAGTCTCCAAGCTTTGTGAACTTAAAATAGTTATTCCAGATCCTATGATAGTTGGGGCTATTATGGCAAAATTACCCCAAACATGGAATAACTATAGAAAGAAACTTCTACACATGGTGGAAGATATTAGTTTGGAGAATTTGCAAAAGGGTATTCAAATTGAAGAGGAAACTCGAAATCGTGATAAGAATTTTGCAAATCAAGATTTCTCTAAAGTTCACATTGTCGAAGGAAACAAATATAAAAAGAACTTCAAAGTCAAAATTGACAAAGGGAAGTTTAAGAAGACCAATTCCAACAACAACCAAAAGAATGCAAATGGTGTATGTTACCATTGTGGAAAGAAATGCCATTACATTCGTGATTGTAGACACAGAAAAGCAAGTGAGGAATATGCCAATAAGACCAATAGCGCAAATATGGTGGATTTTTACAATTGCCGGAGGAGCAATTTCTTGGGCTTCGAAGAAGCAAACATGTATAGTACATTCAACTATGGAATATGAATTTATAGCATTAGCAGCAGCAGGTAAAGAAGCGGAATGGATTAGAAATTTGTTATTGGAAATAGAGTTGTGGCCACAACCAATGCCATCCATTTCTTTATACTGTGATAGTGAGGCTACTTTGTCTAGAGCATACAATAAGGTATACAATGGAAAATCTAGACATATTAGCTTGAGACATGAATATGTCAAGCAATTAATAACTGATGGAGTTATTAATATTGTTTATGTTAAATCAAGTAATAACTTGGCGGATCCGTTAACGAAAGCACTTTCAAGAGCTTTGGTAGTTAGTACATCTAGTGGAATGGGGCTAAAACCCTTTACTGAAAATTAGCCACCAATAATGGTAACCCGACTTTGTCTAGAACATCACTAGTTTAAAAGTTTAATGGGTAATAACAAGTTATTGTTAAGTGGTTGTGTAAGCACTGAAAATTATTATATAGCTCATTCCAGGATGATCAGTGCAAGACTGCTACGTTTAGGAGGATGAGTTTTAACTCTTAATGAGGTTATTTGTAGTTATGTCTATAGTAGCAGGGACATGGGAAGGAACCTCACCTATATAAACATAAGAAGTGGTGCCGCTTCTACCAAGAGTTGGGTTTTCTCTTGTAAATGTTTATGAAACCAGGATGAAGCACAAGGCCATAATAGTGCTTAATTGGTTCAAGAATTTCTTTAAAGAAATAAGACATAATCATGTGTGTAGTGATTCCGGTTTTAACATAAGAATAGGTGGTTTAAACTTAGGTCACAATCGCATTCGTTATAACTTTGAATTACTTACACTAATTAAAGGTTTAATTCGAAAGACACCTTTATTGTATGCATGATTATATCGGTATGCTTGTGATAATTATAAAGAGAGTTGTAATATCATTTTCTATATATTTTTCAAATAGGGAAGGATTGTTGAATATTTTAAAAAAATATATATATAATAATATATATATATATATGGGGATGTTTGACGGGAAGTTGGGTCATTGACCCAACAATTATATCTTTTCAAATTAGCATTGTAACCTTTTGCTAATACCCAACGGTTGCTGCATGTTTTACAACATATATGATCTTTGGGTAATTGGTGTTTGTATTAGATATGTCCATTGGACATAATGATGCAATGTGTTGTATCCCATGGTGAAAAGACATACTCAAATCAAATGATGTGTCTAAAAGGTGTAATTCTCTCTATATATAGTGGTGACATTAGTAGAAAAGAATTATTCAGAAATTTGTTGTCTACATAATTTCTTTGCTCTCTTTTCTCTCCTCATCACATTTATACAATTTCTTTCTAGTTATTTTTAAGGGAATACAATTCGGTTTTGCTAATCGAATATTCCATACTTTGTTGTATCCTAGAAGTGATTTGCCAAGAACCCTGTAGCAAACTCATTCGAGTGGGGGCAAATAACACTTTAAGGAAACGATTCAAGTCGTACCTCAAAGTTATTATTCGGATTATTCTCCATATTTCTATATTTAATCTAACACCTTATCAGTCCACATTCATAGTCCACATTGTTGAGACCAAATCGATTATTATATCCCTTTGTCCATTCGAAGTTATCCAGTATCGATCATGCAAAGTATCCCTTTACTTTAGCACCTGATATGCGTACACACATAGAAAACAAAGTGCATTGATATAGATAACTACAAAAAAAATGTAAGAAGGCATATATATGTATATTATATGTAGCCTTATCTAATTCCTTAACAAGTACTAACTGAATTGCTGCTTTAAGGTGACAAAGGTGGTCACGATGGTAGTTGACTCTTATGGTATCTTTAAGGGCTTGCTCAAGTGATAAGCTGCGATTATTGAACTCATCGACACCTACAACATAATAAATTATCATTTGCGTTGATAATTTTATCTATAAATAAATAAATTTGCATTTAGTTTTGAGTTTAGACTTTAAAACACCTAAATTTACTTATATATACACATGTGAAACATTGATGATGCAATCAATTAAGGATGAAAGTATTAATGCTTACCATTTTCAGTAATGTAAATGGCTAGATCATTATACTATTTCTTGGTATAAATTATTGAGAAATGATTTTCATTACCTCAAAAGATAAGTTACAAGAGTATTTATATGGAAGCTAAAGTAACAAACTAACAGAGTTAAGGAAAGTTACAAGAGTGGTAATTTTCCTAACTAACTTTTAACTGTGTGTTATTACTATTATGTTGAGTTACTTTAGTAACTTTCTCTTCACACCCCCTCAAGCTAAACGGAGAAGGTTGAAGTGATAGCTTGGACCAGAGAAGAAGAAAGCGTTGCATTGGAAGGGATTTGGTGTGAATGTCTGCAAGTTGATCCTGACTGCATACAAATTGGACGGTCAGCAACTTGGCAAGAACAAGTTCTCGTATGTAATGGTAATCTATTTCCACATGTTTGGTGCGAGCATGGAAAACAGGGTTGGAAGCAAGAGCAATCGCAGAAACATTGTCACACCAAATTTGAGGAAGAGAAGGCAGCTTGAAACCAATATCCATGAACAATTTGCAGATCCATGTTAATTCAGCAGCAGTATGAGCCAATGACCTATATTCAACTTCGGTGGATGAACGAGCAACAGTGTGTTGCTTCTTGGCACTCTAACTAATGATGGAGGGTCCAAGAAAGATGCAAAATCCCCCAGTGGAACGTCTATCCCAGGAACATCCTGCCCAATCAGCATCAGAATATGCTTTGAGAGTGAGAGGAGTCGAGTTTTAGGAAACCAGATACCATAACCAAGCGTTCCCTTAAGGTAGCGCAGGATGCACTTCACTGCTTGAAAATGGGGTTCTTGAGGAGAGTGCATAAATTGGCAGACCAAGTTGACTGAAAAAGAGAGATCCGGACGAGTCCATGTAAGATACTGAAGAGCATCAACAATAGAACGATATTCCTCTGGATTATCCAATAGAGAACCAGTGAGATCAAGCTTAGTAGAACCAAGAGGAGTGGTGCAGGGCTTTGTTCCATCCATTTTAGTGCGTTTGGGAAGATCTAAGATGTACTTAGATTGATGAATAAAGATCCCTGTAGAAGCACGGGTAACTTCCAATCCAAGGAAAAAGTGCAAATCACCTAAATCCTTAATGGGGAATTGAACATTGAGTTGAGAGATAACATTGGTACAAGCTGTGGAAGAAGGTCTGATGACAAGAATGTCATCAACATAGACCAAAACAAGCACCAAGACAGGTTGTTGCAACACAAACAAGCTATGATCAGATTGGGAGGCCTGAAATCCCATAGAGAAGAGAGCAGATTGCAGTTGTTCAAACCAAGCTCGAGGAGCTTGTTTCAATCCATAGAGGGATTTCTGCAAGTGACAAACATAAGAAGATTTGTCTTGATCAATGAATCTTGGAGGCTGAGACATATACATATCTTCCTTTAAAGAGCCATGCAAAAACGCATTACTGACATCTAATTGATGCAGAAACCAATTTGAGTGAACTGCAAGTGTGAGAAGAAGGCGAATGGTAACTAGTTTAGCCACTGGGCTAAAAGTATCACTGTAATCAATACCCTCATGCTGATTATAGCCCTTAGCTACTAA